GGAATTATTAAGTGAAACTGGCTTTCCTTTTACTTCAAGTATATTACAGTAAAAAATGTAATAATTACTGGTACATTTTGGTGCCACTGCCTTGATTGACACTTGGGCACCAGGAGTTTTACCCATCTTTGTTTTTGCACCCTCAATGCAAGTTGTTAATATGGTGAAAAAAGCAAATAATGTCTTGATATTGTAATAGAAGTAATTTTGACATCACAGATCCCCTTAAAGTGTTTTGAGGACTCCTAGGGCCCACAGACCACACTTTGAGAACTGCTAGTCTGATGAATTGCCCTGCACCTGCTCTGGTCAGGCTACTCTCTTATTTTAAATCCTAAAGTAACTTCCCTTGTCTCCTAAGATAAAGTCTAACGCCTTTAAGATAGTCTATTTGTTGAACTTCTTTCCATTTCTCCAGCATCATTATAGGGCATACTTTTCATCTGTCAATAGAGTGTACCTCCTCTGGTCTTTTTCACTCTTTCAAATGTACCAGGCCCTTTCCTGCTACAGGGCTACCCCCTCCCTATGCAGTTGCTTTTTCCCCTGGGACATTTTGCCCTCCATGTGATACTTAACAAACCCCTATTCATTTTTCCAGTCTCCTACTTCATAGTACTTCCCTGGGGAAAACTGAAAGTACTCTAAATGAGCTACCCATGAAACTCACTGCCATAGCATCTTTTACTTCTGTGTAGCCCAGATCCCAAATGTAAATACCTAATTATATTATAACTACTTCCTCAATGGCTAGGTCTTTTGCTCCAACATACTCCAGTGAAACTACACATCTCGTACTCAAGACTCTAACCCCAAGGCCAATAAATGAACAAATGAAGTTCACCACATATTTTTATACTTAGTTTACAGAATTAGGATTTTGAAGAAGGTCTATAAAAAAAAGAAGAGAAATAACTTACATTTAATAAGTCAAAACCCAGCATTTTTATTAAAGCTCTGAGACAGGTCACAGCTAATGGAGATCTTGGGTTGGGAAATCATCACCAGTGCCATCAGTGAAGAAAGTACTGAAGTACTTGGTAAGCCATCAGTAAGTTCCAAGAAGTCCTTCTGGTGGAGATGGTGAGCTTTTTTTTTTTTTTTTTAAGATTTTATTTATTTATTTGACAGAGAAAGACACAGTGAGAGAGGGAACACAAACAGGGGGAGTGGGAGAGGGAGAAGCAGGTTTCCTGCCGAGCAGGGAGCCCAATGGGGGACTCAATCCCAGGACCCTGGGATCATGACCTGAGCCGAAGGCAGACGCTTAATGACTGAGCCACCCAGGCGCCCCAGATGGTGAGCTTTTGTCCAGCTTCTCTGAAAATTTTCTGATTATGGGTCTCTCAGGTATTTAGTGAAAAGTTGTCATTTTCTGAATTTCCCTCAGAACTTTGTACTTCCCCATTTTGGGTTTTACTTTCTCGTCAAAGATCTGGAAAATTGTCGTAAGTTTCAACTCTTTCTGTATTCCTACAATTGAAGTAAAATTCACTCACTAAAAAATTAGAAGCCCTAATTCAATGGAATGCTTATCATCTTAACAAAAACCAACTTTGAACTAATGATAGAGCTATCTGGATCTTTTTTCCTCATGTTAAGAACACCCTTTAAGGAAGTTTTGCTAGGCTTCTTTTTTAAAATCTTCTTTAGTTTGGGTGCCTGGGTGGCTCAGTCAGTTAAGTGTCTGCCTTGGGCTCGGGTCATGATCTTGGGGTCCTGGGATCGAGCCCTGCATCAGGCTCCCTGCTCAGCAGGGAGTCTGCTTCTCCCTCTCCCTCTGCCCCTCCTCCCTACTCATGCTCTCTCTCTCTCTTCTCTTCTCTCTCTCTCTCAAATAAATACAATCTTTAAAAAAATAAAATCTTCTTTATTCCCCTTCCAGATGGCTCTCTTGGAAGTGTTGATCAGGTGTGAAAGATAACCTGATTTGTATACACATGGATCTCACCTTATTCTCTGCTGCAAAACATTTAATTTGTCAAATTTGGTTTTATTTACTCTGCTTAATTGAGAAAATTACTGAACATTTACTATGTGCCAATTCTTACACTGAGCTCAGGCTATACCAAGATGATTAAACCTGTAATCCTGCCCACAAGAAGAGTAAAATGCAACCTCTACTACCATAGGGCTGTTCAAGTTGTTAGAATGTGTGTTTGCTGCTTTGTGGCAGCTTCTTTGCGTTAGCCCAGACCATTGTCTTAGCTCTGGCGACGTAATGGTTAAACCACCCTTGCTTTTCTTTGCTATTTTTATATAATTATAAAATTGTTGTTTTTTCTTTTGTATTTGTCTTTTCTCTTTGTAAAAGTGGTCCTAAGGCTCCCCACAATCTTTTCTATTTCCACTTTGAGGTTTGTTGCAAAACAAGGAAGGGAAAACGTAAGAGAAAAGAAGAGATAACATTTCCTGTATGATTTTCAAGACATCAGAACTTGCCTCTCTCTTTTTCACATTCCTAGAGAGTAAAAGGAAGCAATTATAAAAACGTAATGCACAAAACGCAAATGGAAAGTAGATGCTGAAAATGAAAGGAAAACAAGTGGCATCTTCTCTGTCCAAATGATGAAATGGTTACTTAAACTACACAAGGGATTACGAGCTCTATAGAGTGGCAGATTCAAACCAGCCTGTGTGAGACAAGTCTCCAGGGAGGGCAGCTGGCCCTTTAAGGCAAGCTGTTACCTAAAGGGCGGGCTAGTTTTCAGCTTTGCTGAATCAGAAAACCCATCTATCTAGATATTTGTCTGTTTACTTTTTTTTCACAGAGAAGATGATATTCTGAGGACTTAGTCATACCAATTCATACTCAAAAGAGACTGGGTTATAGATGGGACGGCCATTTTATTAATGTGTGCGAGGTCAGCTATTACCCGGAAGCTCATAGATGTTAGTCATTTGGATGGAGCACTCCCTGTCACATAAACACAAGCTCGTGTTCACATAAGAGATGAGATTAGAAATAAAAACGTTTATTAGTGAGCTGAGAAGGAAGGGAAGGGAAGGGAAGGGAAGGGAAGGGAAGGGAAGGGAAGGGAAGGGAAGGGAAGGGAAGCAGATCACTTCAGGGAAACTTCCACCCAGTTCGCACAGTCGGATGGGTTCACTTTCTCTGTTGTGGCCACGGCTAACAGATGTTGAGTGCTTATTTTGCCCAGGCATTGTTACAGGTACATGACATCATCCTATCTTCACAACAACCCAGTGAAATAGATATGGTTATCAATTCTGTATGACAGAGGAGAAAAACGAGGAGCCCAAGGTCACACACCCATGCAGAGGCTGGAGCTATGACATGAACCCCCGATGTCTGGCCCCAGAGTCTACTGGCCTAGCCACTAGATTGGGCCTTCCCCTCTGATGATGTTCTTCCTACCTTAGATTAACACTTAGCAGTTCTTACCCTCCAGTCGCCACTCTTAGTGACCAAAAAGCAACATTTGGGGGTGCCTGGGGGACGCAGTCAGTTAAGTGTCCAATTCCTGGTTTTGGCTCGTGTCATGATCTTCCGGTCGGGTTGGTCGTGGGATCTAGCCCCGCATCAGGGTCCCTGCTCAGAGCAGAGTCTGCTTGAGTTTCTCTCTCCCTCTCCCTCTGCCCCTCCCCACTGCTTGTGCTGTCTCTCTCTAAAATAAATAAATAAATCTTTTTTAAAAAGCACCATTCGGTTATTTCAGAGACTTTACAGGATACAGCTCCCTTTTCACTTGCCAAGTTCCAGTCCTGTCTTCCAAATGATGTGTTTTGTTGATCTCTACTGGATCTTTGAAACCCCCTGTTCCCATCTGAAATATTTTCAGAAATTATCCTGGAGGTTAAAGGATCCATTTCACATAGATATCACATGAGTGGTCTTAAACTCACTGAAGATATTGTTTGGAAAACAATACTGCAGAATAGAACTTATTCTTACTATCCCTGCTTTCAGAAGACTGTCATCTTCTGACACAGTCCCCAAATTTTAGGCCTACTCGCTTTTTGAAAAATGTAGTCCTTTTTGTACTTGCTACGGGACAGAAAGCTCTCTGCGTGCCTCCTCTATGACAGACACTCAAGATACACATTCCTGCCCTCAGGGAGCTTACAGTTTATCAGGGCAATCAGATATTCAACAAATAATTAAATTGATTACTTAATTACAAACAGAATGTAGTCAAAGGAGAATGCTTAAGATTATGAAGTAATATGGAGGCAGAACAGTATAGCAGTGAAGTATCACGTATATAATAAATTGTAGCTTTTAGCAAGTTAAGTAACCTCTCTGAGATTTTGGTTTCCTTATTTGCAAAATATAATTAGAGTAATTACCTCATAGGGAAGTTATGAAGTTTAAATGAAATACTGTTTGTAAAACACTTTGCTGAGAGCCTACATGTAATCTGAAGATTGCTGCCATTAATACTAAAATAATCTGCGTGTTACAGTTTCCATGAAGACATATCAAGGTAAGCTTTGAATACTATTGCAGTCCCATTAGCCCTGATAGGTAGGATATCACTTGTCAGTGGAATACCTAAGGATATGAGATTATCTGGATTACCATTCAATGACTAAGGCAAAGTTTTTACTGTGAGAGGTTGTACTTGGTAGAGAACCAAGAGAATCACACATATGCAATCTTGAATCTTTCAGGGAAACCAGCACCTAGCAAAGTGCTTGGCAGACCATAATTTATTTTTGACAAATGATATCTGCAAAATTGTTTTCCAAACAATATCTTCAGTAACCAACTCAAGTGATACCTTTGAAGTACATATACAACTGACACTTTTTAAAGAAGGGGGAAAGGTGTAAATAAGGAAAAAAATAAGAAAAACTTAAATCTCCTGTTTTATAAGTTTTTGTATATTTCCTGCTGACCTGGAAAGACCACCATTTCTTGCATAAGTATTTCTCCCTTTTCTGACTTTGTCTAGGCTTTTCTTCCCAAGAACAACCTGGGAGGTGTGAAAAATATGTTATAATGCTGTGTAAATACTATATTGGCACACATGGTTGGAGTCCCTCATCTAGGTGCTCATGTTAATAAATGTGCATTTTTAATTGACTTTGTAAAAAAAAAGAGAGAAAGTAGAAAGGGAAAGGAACGCGTGACAGTGGAAAAACCCAGAAAATGGAAGTTTCTATATTCACTATTTAAAAGGCACTCATCACCCAAAGTTCTCAGAACCTACCGAGACTTCCTCTTCAGGCAGTCCTGCAGAATCCCCTGCAGCTGCCTAATGGCCCTCTCAGTCTCTGTGCTGCTGGCCCTGGTGATGTTATGCTCCAGCCCTGCCTGCTCTCGGGACTGCGCCCTGCATCCAAGCCATGGCAATCCAGAAACCTTCATGCTATTGAGTCAAATGGAGAAAATCTCCATTCTGTCTTGTCTGAAGGATAGGACTGACTTCAGCTTTCCTCAGATGCTTGTGGATGGGAACAAGTTTGAGAAGACAGAAGCCACGCTTGTCATGCATGAGATGCTCCAGCAGATCTTCAACCTTTTCAGCAAAAGTGACTCTCTTGTGGCTTGGGATGAGACCCTACTGGACAAATTCCTCGCTGGGCTTCATCAGCAGGTGGATGATCTGGAGACATGTTTGGAGGAAGAAAAGAATGTGGAACTGTTAAGTGAGAACTCCAGACTGGCTGTGAAGAGATACTTCCATGGAATCAGTCTCTATCTTGAAAAGAAAGTATACAGCCACTGTGCCTGGGAGGTTGTCAGGGTGGAAATCAGAAGGTGCTTGTTTTTCATCAATGAGTTCACAGCTAAACTCAGGAAATAAAAAAGATGTTGAGTCTGAAAACTCATCTGGTCAACTAAATGGCTGCTTTCTAGGACTCAAAGTGCAATCATCATCTCTATCTTTATGCCAGAAGAAAAATAAATAATAGCAGATGTATGGGATTATTATAAAGTTATGTTAAATGTTGTAAGTTGTTTAGAACAGAGAAATGCACAATTCATCTGCAATAACTTAAAATCTTTTGTACTTTTTATTTATTTAAATTATTTGAAGTATTTGTGCTGTTCATACTTTTTAAATATTTATTGTTCACAAACCATGTGTTTAGCATTATGTTTTGTATGGGACTACTGTTCATTTTTAAGATATGGGAAATAAAAGCAATTTTTAAAAATCAAATTTCTAGCACACACTTTTTGAATAAAAACCTAACCCAAAGCCTGATCTCACAAAATAAACCTGCGGAAGGTTCCTGAATGAAAAGGAAAGAGGGATAGCCCAACATGGCTAGTGGAAAAGCCAATGCTAATATTCATATGGAATTGCAAGTGACTTCGAATTGCCAAAACAATCTTGAAAAATAAGAGCAAAGTTGGAAGGCTCACATCCTTGATTTCAAAAAATACTACAAACTACAGCTATCAAAACCATGGGATACCAGTCATTGACCAATAGAATAGAATTGAGAACCCAGAAATAAGCCTATACATCTATTGTCACTTGATTTTTGACAAGGGTATTACGACTATTTAGTGAGGAAATAACAGGATCTTCAACAAAATGGTGGTGGGAAAACTGGATATTCACACTGCAAAAGAAGGAATTTGGATCCCAAGCTCACATCACATAGAAAAAAAAATCCAAAATGGATCAAAGGTCTAAATATAAAAGCTAAATCAAAAAAACTCTTAGAGAAAAACAGAAATAAATCTTGAATGACATTAGATTTGCCAATGATTTCTTAGGTAAAACACTAAAAGCATAAGTAACAAAAGAAAAAACTAGATAAATTGAACTTCATCAAAATTATAACTTTTGTGCACTAAAGGACACCATCAAGAAAGTGAAAAGGCAATCTACAGGACAGAAGAAACTATTTGCAAATCATATATCTAATAAGGGTTCAGTATGCAGAATATATAAAGAACTCTTATAACCCAGTAATAAAAAGGCCAAAAACCTAAATGAAAAGGGGCAAAGGATTGAATAGAATTTTTTTGCAAAGAAGATACACAAAGGGACAACAATAATATAAAACGATGTTCAGTATCATTAGTCATTAGGAAAATGCACATCAAAACCACAATGACATACCCCTTCATACTCACTAAGATGGTTAGAATCTAGTAATGGGAAATAATAAGTGTTGGTGAATGTGGAGACATTGGAACCTCTACACATTGTTGGTGGGAATGTAAAATGTTTCAAGTTCTGTGGCCAACAGTTGGTGGTTCTTCAAAAAAGTTAAACATAAAATTACCATATGGTCTAGTAATTTCACTTCTAGGTATAAACCAAAAAGAATTGAAACTGGATATTCAAGTAAATACTTGTACACATATGTTCTCAACAGCACTATACATGATAGCAAAAAGTGGAAACAACCCATTGATGGATGAATGGATAAACTGTTGTGTATTCATGCCATGGAATACTGGTTGGCCATAAAAAGGAAGGAAGTACTGATACATGTTGCAATGGGAATGAACCTTGAAAACATTATGCAAAGTGAGAAGCCAGACACAAAAGTCACTAATTGTATGATCCCATTTAAATAGCTAAAATAGGTAAATTCAGAGAGACAGAAAGCAGATTGTGATTGCCAGGGGCTGAGAAGGAAGAGGGTATGAGAAATGATGACTGCTTAATGTGTATGAAGTTTCCATTTGGGGTGATGAAAAAGCTCTGGGGGCGCCTAGGTGGCTCAGTCAGTTAAGCGTCCAACTCTTGATTCCGGCTTAGGTCATGATCTCAGGGTTGTGAGATGGAGCCCCACATTGGGTTCCACACTGGGCGTGGAACCTGTTTAAGATTCCTCTCTCCCCCTCCTTCCACTCCTCCCCTCTCTCTAAAAAAAAAAGTTCTGGAACTAGATTGTGGTGATGGTTGTACAACATGGTGAACGTACTGAATACCACTGAATTGTATACTTTAAAATGGGTAGTTGATGTAGATGACCTTTTTCTTCCTCTGATCATTTCCCATGTTCATGTCTTCCCTGAAGACTGTAAGTTCCTTAAAGACAAGGAAATACTGGATCCTTTAACCCAACTCAGCTAGTCCAGACTTTGAACAGAGGAATATTTACATGATTGCTGAGTAGTTGGTCCTTTAGAGTGGTGATCATGACTTCCCCTTCCATAGTGTCTTATCCTGTTTACAGGGCAGTACAGGGAGGGCCTAAAGATGGTTAATAAAAGTAAAAAATTAAACCCATATATATAGTAGTTGTGTTGACACAGTAATCAGAATTTTTATGAATGCTGCAGTATTCCAAATTTTCTCTAGTGTGCTAGTCTTGTCTTCTCCTTTGCACATGGTTTTCTTGCAGAGGGACCCTTCTTAGCTACTCCCATGGTTTACTGCAGGTGTTGGGCAAATTGCCTAAACCTTCCATGGCTTAATTTTCATAGTTGTATTATGGGGTTCATAATAATACCTACCGCAGAGGTTTATGAGATTAGATGAGTAATGGACGCAAAATGCCTGGCACAAAGGAGTCACTCAAAAGTGAGATAATTGTTACTATCATTTTTACTAACTGTGCACATAGTAGTTACTCAGTAAATAATTATTCACTTCTGAGTTTCTTATGGTAATTATTTAAAGAAATTCATATGCTTCTTGACCTTTGGTTAATGTCTCTACATTTCAGGAGCTGGGGAGAAAGAATTGGTCAAAAATACAGAAAAGCTGGCAGGGAACTTACCTCAAAAACCAAAGAACAAAAACTTTAGGGGATAAAAGGGTGTTAAAAGTCTTGCATAGATAACAACAGCAATAAAACCCAAATCTAGTTAAAAAATGGGCAAAGGACCTGAACAGACATTTCTCCAAAGAGGATCTACAAATGGCCAATAAGAACGTGAAACGATGCTCAACATCACTAATCATTAGGGAAATGCAAATCAAAACCACAATGAGATGCTACCACACACTGATTAGAATAGTTACTGCAAAAAAAAAAAAAAAAGTGTTGACAAGGGTATAGAGAAACTGAAACCCTTATACACTGTTGGTGAGAATGTAAAATGGTACAGTTGCTATGGAAAAAAGTATGGTGGTTGCTTAAAAAATTAAAAATAGAATTACCATATGATCCAGCAAATCCCCCTCAAAAGAAGTGAAAGCATGTTCTCAAAGAGATATTTGTGCACTCGTGTTCATAGCAGCATTATTCACAATAGCTAAAAGGTAGAAGCAACTCAAGTGTCTACCGACAGGTAGATATTCGGCTTTAAAAAGGAAAGAAATGTGACACATGCTGCAAGATGGATGGACCTTGAGGACATTATACTAAATGAAAGCCAGTCACGGAAAGACAAGGACTGTAGAATTTCAATTATATGCAGTACCTAGAGTCGTCACATTCATAGATACAGAAGTGGAATAGAGCCTGCCATGGGCTTAGAGGAGGGGAGAACGGGAAGTTGTTTTTTAATGAGTATACAGTTTCGGTTTTGCAAAATGAGAAGAGTCCTGGAGGTTGGTTGTACAACAATGTGAATATAATTAGCGCTATTAAACTATGCACTTCAAAATGGCTAAGATGGTGAATTTTATGCCTTTGCATTTTACCACCATTAAAATTAAACAACAACAACAACACCTTAAGCCTTGCATAGACACACAAACATCGTATCAGTGTGGGTAAAGGCATGGGATTTATTCAGGTTTGAACCAGCGTTTAAGTTCTGACTTCCCACCGGTTAACTGTATGCCCTTGGGAAATATGCTTAACCTTTTGGGGCAGCCTCAGTTTTCTCCTCCACGAAATGGGCATAATAATACCGCGCTGCCTGTCGGGAAAGCGCTCTGAGAAGAACAAATCCCCTCCCCCGCGCGTGAGTCCCAGGCCTTTTCCAGACCGCTGTTCCCAGGCCATCCAACCCTGGCCTGTGGGCCTGCCTCCTCACCGGGAGCGGCGCAGGGCCCCGCGGCTTCCATCCCAGCCAAGCCTGCTGACCGTCCAAACTCCGGGCTTTAGGGACGTGACGTGGGCAGGGGCCTGCGCTGGGCTCCGGGGGGAGGGCGTCACTGCGCTGGGGCCGAGGCGAGCTTGACCTCGGAAGACAGCCTCAGCAGACAGCAGGGACCTGGGGCTTGCGGGGAGCAGGTGAGGCAGCCTGCGCAGGCCCACTGCTGCCTCCTGCTGGTGCATCCGTGTTTCTGCTGGGGCGCCGGGAGAGAAGTGGCGCCAGCCGTCCCCTGCGTGTCCAGAGAGGCCTCTGCAGGGATGCGACCTCCCTGCGTCTCCTCCAAGAAGGGCAAATCATCTCCCCGCCGTGAGCCACAGGTACTCTTCAGATGGCTGTTCCCATGCTGTCTGTCCCCCGGGGTGCTGGCCGGCCTTCTCCCGGGAGCAGGGCGGTGCCCTCGGGGCTCTAGGCCGGCCAAGCCCACCGACCTTTCAAACCCCAGGCTTGAAGCCCCGCTGGCTGCCAGAACTCACAAAACCTCTCTCTTTTTCCCAGCACATGGCTTTGGAAAATGTTCTCCAGGTGGGCTTCCCTTTGTGCTCCTCTCTCTGTCTCTCTCGCTTCCGCAACCACGGCTCCCTCTCCTTTCTGCCCCAAACCATGTCTCTGCCCTTCCAACCCTCTTCGGTGAGGCTTTTTCTCGCCCTATTAGTTGTGGAGTTTGTTGTGTCGATCTTCAGACCGATTTCTGGGGTATTTAGGATGATTTAATAGTTATCTCGTTGTATTCCGGGCGAGGCCAGCCTAGGGCCCCCCTACTGCGCCGCCATCTTAGCTCCTCCCCTCCAAAATTCAATTCATTCCTAATCCATACTTCAACAAGATTTTTTTTGAAGATTCTATTTATTTGTTAGAGAGAGAGAGAGAGCGCGCGCGCGAGCACAAGTGGGGGGAGGGGCAGAGGGAGAGGAAGAAGCAGGCTCCCCCCTGAGCGGGCAGCCGCGTGCAGGGCTTCCTGATGCTGGGGCTCCAGATCATGACCTCCGCGGAAGGCAGGTGCTT